GCACGTCGGCCATATTCATTGTTAGAACAGCAAGTCACGCGATATGCATTAGAAGTGCCTCAGTCCCATTTCGATTTTCATGAAACTTGGTATGAACAGCACGCTACTACTTACCCCAAATATAAATAAAAGAATGTGAGCTGAGCGAGACACTGACTCCGTCTTCTAAATTCACCCAACTTGTACAGGGGCAGTTTTTGAAGACCAATATGGCGGCCTTGCGAAAGGATATATATCTTTCGTTTCAATGGCGATGAATAATTAAACATTCGCATACGTATCCTTACGTTCCGGGAAAAGCAAAGTCATTGCTGAGATGATTGTTTCGATGTTTCAGAGGTGAAAATTGCCTCCATTATCAGGGCGAGAGTGCACTGATGATGCAGGCAGCAAGTTCCTCTGAGACGTCTGAAACGTGTCCCAGAATACACGGCGCAACATCCCAGAAGACAGTCACCTTCGATTCAAAGACCAACGGAGCGTGACATTTTACAGTTAACAGTAGGCACTCACTGATTCCTTCCGCTCTTGTCGAGAGCCAAAGACTGAGGCTTCATTGCAGGGCACTTCTGTATTAATGAAAATGTTTCGTCCTTGAATACAGTGTTTCTATTTACGTTGTAGCAAAACAAATGCAATGGCCTCTCTTCACGTGCGTCGTTTCGTCAGTGAAGAACTTTCGACGGCTTATTTGATGTCAAAACACTTTCGATGCCCCAAAATAGACAAGCTCTTTCATGAGCGCAATGAAACCTTCCTAACCTCAAACACATTACATCACCAAAACTATCAAAATACCTAGTAGATATATTTAGCCAGCATGTGTATAAATAAGCCCAACACGTTTAATATACACAGATGCTTCATTAATTCACCAAAAACTGTACATATAAACCAACATACTATATTATGCTCTTTCGATATTATGAAATATATGATAATATACTTGATATGAGCTTTTATAATGAATTTCCTGCCCAAGAAATTTGACAAATTTTGATCCTTACAAAACTTGTTTCGACCCAAAATTAATTTTATCATAACAATAAATATCGCTGATATTGCTTTACATATATCGAACACAGTTAACTTAATACCCATTTTAATAAAAGAACACACCGTAACCATAGAACCATTAACGATATTCTCACTGTACTTATTCAAAGAACGCCAATACAGAATCAATATTTACTGGATTCAATAACATTTTCTTTTCGTTTAATTTCACATGTGTAACGGAAATGGACAGTCCACTTAATTTTCTTGATTTAACCGTCACAAAAAAGCGAGCCGTTATTAAGTAAATTTAAAAAGCCTTTAGCTACAAATTTAATTATAAATTTCTATTCATGTCATCCCCCAGAACATAAACAACTCACGTCACAGTTTCTGCTGAAGATACGAGGTGCAATCGGAAAGTTTCAAGACTGTGTCAATAGAGGGCGAACCGGATGTAGCACGAGCTTCTGCCGCTAGGGGGTGCGGCCTACATTCATAGTGAATCAGTGTGAGAGCCGGCATCATGGAATTAGCATTTGTTTCTTAGTTACGGGCGTTTTGGTAGTGCATTACACCGACCCTCCTGCGATTTCGGAATGGCGTGTGCATCAAATTTTGCCAAAGACTCGCCAAAACGGCTACGGAAACCTATGAAATGCTAAAGCAAGCATTTGGGGAGTCCGCAAACTTTTGTGTGGCATTCACGTTTTAAAAACGGCCGAACTTCTGTCGATGATGACGAGCGTTCTGGACGACCATCTTCGAGCACAACGCCCGAAAAAGTTACGAAGATCGACGTCGTACCATCAACGACTAATGCGACATTGTTGGGATAGGCTATGGGACCTGTCAGCTGATTCTAAAGGAAGAACTCCACATGCGACGCATCAAGACAACGCGCCAGCGCACACCGCCCTCAAAGTTCGGCAGTTGTTGGCCTCAAACACCATGGCCGTCATCCCGCACCCTCCTTATTCACCGGATTTAGCTCCGTGTGACTTCTTCCTCTTCCCAAAGATGAAAATTCAGCTAAAGGGAAGGAGATTTGAGACGAGTAGTTTAGGATTATCCTGTATCAAACGAAGGAAGGATTTGGTCACATAAGACATCCCATTCAGCATCGTAAGACAAATACACAGATACCACAGACGCCGTTTCAAAACATGTGTATTAATTACATTAGTAACAAATGTGAAGGAACAAGGACTATTGACAAACTATTCCAGAATTATTATGTAAAAGTTGTACCCAGAACTAACAACGCGACAGAGGAAAATTTTGCGTATTGGAACACAAACATCAGACGAGGTAGAATAACAGCGGCATGTATCTTTCGACGAGCTCAGATTAAACAAAGGCAAAATGGAAGTAATTGTTTCCCAAAGATAATAGGCATATTAATGATTTTCTATAATTAAGATTAAATTGGGGTTCTGTAAGCATATTTTAGAAAACGGGTCACTGTTATGGGTAAATGGGATATGCCGCGTCTCTAAAGGGCTTTCTCTGTCCGTATTGGAGCAGCCAGTACCAAGCACGCGAACGAGCAGCCTAAACATTGACTCACACATCACACCACAGTGCAGCGGTCAAAACCCTGGACGACTGCAGTAATTAGAACAACAACAACAAATCACACACGTAAGTAATAAAAAAGGCAATAATCAGATCATTTAAGACACAAGAACATTTCTCTTTCATTTTACATAACTTTATTTTATTTAAAAATATGGCTAAATGCGCTTTGTCAATATAACAAGAAGATTTTTATGGATAAACATACCCAAGTGCTGTAATGAGCGTAGCAAATAACAGATAAACATAAAAGAACATTAGCATTCACTACAGAAAGAAACTAAAGGACAAGGATCATTTTATATTAACACGTTTTATACCACGTAACATTTAAATAAGTTATTTAATACGTCTTGTTACGTTTTACATTTGTATTTATTTTAATATTAGATAACAACGTATATAAATGTAACAAAACGATACAACTCTCACACCTACAGATATATGTTGTGTAGTACAAGGTTTCTGATGATGGCACAGTTGCAACGAAACATGTGACTTATGATGTTAAAATATTATATTATATATTTCAAAAATAAAAGTATTGTGTATGACGGACAGCAGAGAACCATTTTACATTAAAGTTTATCTGCGACGAGCAATTCCACAACAGCGGTCGATGATGCCCGTTGGAAGTCACAGAGCTTGAAAGACGTGACAAGTTGGTGGGACGAGGGAATCAAAGATCAGTGATTTCTAACGAGCGTCAGGTGTCATACGTGCTACCTGGAACGTGGTAGACCGCCTGAGCCCTAAGGGATACAATGTAATTGCGCTTGGGAAGAAAGTAGGACTGTCATTTGTCACAGATATTTTCGCATCATGCTGTTTAGTCAACGCAGTAGTTTTTGGTCGGTGGAATTTTCAAGGGGAAGGCTAGGAGCGAGTCTCGGACTGAACGCCCAAACAAAAGAAATACGCTGACCGTGCCACCTCAGGTACACAGAGTAGGCTCGTCCGCCAGGTCCGCTAGATTCTCCACCGGCCAAAAGCTCCCTCTTCTTTTTAACCGTGATCTGCGGTTAGGATCATTGTTATATCAAACAGAAAGGACAAAGGATATTTCGTTCCTCACTTACACAAAACGCTGACGAAACGAATCGTGGACCGCGTTGCTTGATCAGCAAAACAAAGTTGGCCAAAAACTATGGAGACCTCGCGTTTCTAATCGGATGGCGTGAACACGACTCTTTAAACATCTGTGAAATATTTTACTTAGTTGTCGTGTCCTGTAGAAGACAAGAGGGTGAACAAAGTTCTGCCTATAAATCTAATTAAAACTTGCACCATTCTTAATGTTAACTACAGATACAAAATATATTTAGTTCATAGTAGGAGGATAATGTGACGCAAATGTTTGAATCGGATTTTGTAAACAGCGCCTGAAATTTAAAAAAATATATACACATATATTTTTCGGTGGAGGGGGGGGGGGGGGGGGGTACCTGCAAACACAACCCCGCGTTCATTCAATAATATATCAAGCGTGGAACAATAAAGACAAAATTAAAATACATATTTTGATAAATGTATTCCCGAAACTGTATCGTTGTATCAGGCATTATGTCAGTTGATGTAAACAATACATGGAGGCTGCATCAACTGAATTAAAAGATAAACCCTGAACACCGTAGCTTTGCGGTATTTTTGTTTTCGTGATTAATAACGGGCCATGTTGGTGCTGGACAGAAAAATTTACAAAGTGAATCTGGCGCGGGGGGGGGGGGGTGAGCG